ATACACCATGCTTTAATTCGAATTGAACTATGAATAGGAAGAGTATGTATGGACATTCGACAATAGGGATTATATACATACTTGGTTATTTAAAATGTTCTTCTATGCTTAATGGGTTCCTAATGCTTAATTTTAGGTTAGACAACAAATGATCAAATTAGGGAATTAGGAATACAAGGTTAGGACCAAACACCATGGCTTAATCATACTTTAGCTAGAATCAATCCGTTAATCTAATTGAACTTGGGAACTTATTTGCTTGAGTTATTTCTTTTTTTTCTTGTTTTATTTATTTTCTTTTTCATTTCTATTTTGTGTAGGGGAAGCAAATTGGATCATTCAATCACCAATCCTCGTGGGATCGACCTCGCACTTACATATGCTATACTACCAAACGGCTCGTGCACTTGCGAGTATCACAAGTTGAGGATGCAGGTGAATCCATTTTGGGGCAGCTGAATCGACGCAACACTTTCATCACACCAAATCTAACAAGTACAACTACAGGCCCAACTTATTTGCAAGCCAAGCCTCTAATGCCACAAGCAGCCTCATACTCTCATATGTCTAAGCCTAGCATGCACACCACACCACAAAGTTCATTTCGAACTTCAAAGCCATGGAAACCACCTGGCAAAGTTGCTTGTACAAAAAAAAAAAGCAACTACAAGTTCACAAAAGCATATTTCATTGTATTTTGAGCTGTTTTGGTATTTTTGGGCAGTTGAAACAAGTTATTTTGTGAAGAGAAGACCATGTAGTACTTGTCTTCGGTGCAGATTCAATTTTATTTTGTTAGTTTGGAATTAAGGCATGGAATTGCTCTTTGGTGCATATACATTGAAACTTAAACTAGTTTTTTGTGATCTTGATGTAGTTGTCAATAATGGATTTGCTTTTTCTTTGGTACTGATGGGGATGTACTTGGGAGAATGGATTTTCTTGTCAAGAATGAATTTGCTTTTTCTTTGATTTTATTAAAGTTTTTTCTGTAACAAATTAAGTACCTCACAGAATACCAAATACCAGTCATCACTGTCATATAAACAGAGCACTCTTGACAAGCCAAGCTAATCCAAGGATGACCTTCAATGCCCACCAATCCTGTTAGTTTTTGTATAGTGGATGTTTCATGCAACTTTTTTTTTTCTTTTCTAAACTTAACAAACCAAGCTTGGTGGACCTTGATGTCCTATTCTTGTACATCAACGTCAGTTTTGGGGGGGGACTAGAAGACCCAAAGGAAATGCCGCCGCCCACCACCCCAACCCCACCCTACCCCAGCTCAAACTAGATCTTCACTGCCTTACCCACCCAGCCACAAATCCCACCTGCATCCCTCTTTCCAACCTACCCACCGCTTCCCCACACCCCCATCCTCCCTGCTTTTTCTACCCCACCTTTCCTCTTTTTTCTACCTTCTGGGTGCGTGAGAATTCAAGGCACTATTGTCATTGCCTCTGCCATGGATCCATCAGGTGGCAGGGTCCCGCTTTCCTTTTCCTTTTCCTCTGATCCTTCTTTGCTTCAAAGAATCTGATGATACTAGTGACTGACCTAAAGGGATTTTCTGATCCGTATCAGGTCTGGTCTGTGTTGGCTCGCAGAGAAGCACGCCAGGTGTTCGACATCTTGCCCCTACTGGTGCATTTGTGCCTGCTTCTGTGACTTGTCCATTTCGTGAAGAATCACTACGGTTCTTTCTCGTCAGCCTGCTTTTGGCAGTGCTGTGGTGCCAAACTTGGGGTGGTAGGAAATGCCGCCGCCCACCACCCCAACCCCACCCTACCCCAGCTCAAACTAGATCTTCACTGCCTTACCCACCCAGCCACAAATCCCACCTGCATCCCTCTTTCCAACCTACCCACCGCTTCCCCACACCCCCATCCTCCCTGCTTTTTCTACCCCACCTTTCCTCTTTTTTCTACCTTCTGGGTGCGTGAGAATTCAAGGCACTATTGTCATTGCCTCTGCCATGGATCCATCAGGTGGCAGGGTCCCGCTTTCCTTTTCCTTTTCCTCTGATCCTTCTTTGCTTCAAAGAATCTGATGATACTAGTGACTGACCTAAAGGGATTTTCTGATCCGTATCAGGTCTGGTCTGTGTTGGCTCGCAGAGAAGCACGCCAGGTGTTCGACATCTTGCCCCTACTGGTGCATTTGTGCCTGCTTCTGTGACTTGTCCATTTCGTGAAGAATCACTACGGTTCTTTCTCGTCAGCCTGCTTTTGGCAGTGCTGTGGTGCCAAACTTGGGGTGGTAGGAAATGCCGCCGCCCACCACCCCAACCCCACCCTACCCCAGCTCAAACTAGATCTTCACTGCCTTACCCACCCAGCCACAAATCCCACCTGCATCCCTCTTTCCAACCTACCCACCGCTTCCCCACACCCCCATCCTCCCTGCTTTTTCTACCCCACCTTTCCTCTTTTTTCTACCTTCTGGGTGCGTGAGAATTCAAGGCACTATTGTCATTGCCTCTGCCATGGATCCATCAGGTGGCAGGGTCCCGCTTTCCTTTTCCTTTTCCTCTGATCCTTCTTTGCTTCAAAGAATCTGATGATACTAGTGACTGACCTAAAGGGATTTTCTGATCCGTATCAGGTCTGGTCTGTGTTGGCTCGCAGAGAAGCACGCCAGGTGTTCGACATCTTGCCCCTACTGGTGCATTTGTGCCTGCTTCTGTGACTTGTCCATTTCGTGAAGAATCACTACGGTTCTTTCTCGTCAGCCTGCTTTTGGCAGTGCTGTGGTGCCAAACTTGGGGTGGTAGGAAATGCCGCCGCCCACCACCCCAACCCCACCCTACCCCAGCTCAAACTAGATCTTCACTGCCTTACCCACCCAGCCACAAATCCCACCTGCATCCCTCTTTCCAACCTACCCACCGCTTCCCCACACCCCCATCCTCCCTGCTTTTTCTACCCCACCTTTCCTCTTTTTTCTACCTTCTGGGTGCGTGAGAATTCAAGGCACTATTGTCATTGCCTCTGCCATGGATCCATCAGGTGGCAGGGTCCCGCTTTCCTTTTCCTTTTCCTCTGATCCTTCTTTGCTTCAAAGAATCTGATGATACTAGTGACTGACCTAAAGGGATTTTCTGATCCGTATCAGGTCTGGTCTGTGTTGGCTCGCAGAGAAGCACGCCAGGTGTTCGACATCTTGCCCCTACTGGTGCATTTGTGCCTGCTTCTGTGACTTGTCCATTTCGTGAAGAATCACTACGGTTCTTTCTCGTCAGCCTGCTTTTGGCAGTGCTGTGGTGCCAAACTTGGGGTGGTAGGAAATGCCGCCGCCCACCACCCCAACCCCACCCTACCCCAGCTCAAACTAGATCTTCACTGCCTTACCCACCCAGCCACAAATCCCACCTGCATCCCTCTTTCCAACCTACCCACCGCTTCCCCACACCCCCATCCTCCCTGCTTTTTCTACCCCACCTTTCCTCTTTTTTCTACCTTCTGGGTGCGTGAGAATTCAAGGCACTATTGTCATTGCCTCTGCCATGGATCCATCAGGTGGCAGGGTCCCGCTTTCCTTTTCCTTTTCCTCTGATCCTTCTTTGCTTCAAAGAATCTGATGATACTAGTGACTGACCTAAAGGGATTTTCTGATCCGTATCAGGTCTGGTCTGTGTTGGCTCGCAGAGAAGCACGCCAGGTGTTCGACATCTTGCCCCTACTGGTGCATTTGTGCCTGCTTCTGTGACTTGTCCATTTCGTGAAGAATCACTACGGTTCTTTCTCGTCAGCCTGCTTTTGGCAGTGCTGTGGTGCCAAACTTGGGGTGGTAGGAAATGCCGCCGCCCACCACCCCAACCCCACCCTACCCCAGCTCAAACTAGATCTTCACTGCCTTACCCACCCAGCCACAAATCCCACCTGCATCCCTCTTTCCAACCTACCCACCGCTTCCCCACACCCCCATCCTCCCTGCTTTTTCTACCCCACCTTTCCTCTTTTTTCTACCTTCTGGGTGCGTGAGAATTCAAGGCACTATTGTCATTGCCTCTGCCATGGATCCATCAGGTGGCAGGGTCCCGCTTTCCTTTTCCTTTTCCTCTGATCCTTCTTTGCTTCAAAGAATCTGATGATACTAGTGACTGACCTAAAGGGATTTTCTGATCCGTATCAGGTCTGGTCTGTGTTGGCTCGCAGAGAAGCACGCCAGGTGTTCGACATCTTGCCCCTACTGGTGCATTTGTGCCTGCTTCTGTGACTTGTCCATTTCGTGAAGAATCACTACGGTTCTTTCTCGTCAGCCTGCTTTTGGCAGTGCTGTGGTGCCAAACTTGGGGTGGTAGGAAATGCCGCCGCCCACCACCCCAACCCCACCCTACCCCAGCTCAAACTAGATCTTCACTGCCTTACCCACCCAGCCACAAATCCCACCTGCATCCCTCTTTCCAACCTACCCACCGCTTCCCCACACCCCCATCCTCCCTGCTTTTTCTACCCCACCTTTCCTCTTTTTTCTACCTTCTGGGTGCGTGAGAATTCAAGGCACTATTGTCATTGCCTCTGCCATGGATCCATCAGGTGGCAGGGTCCCGCTTTCCTTTTCCTTTTCCTCTGATCCTTCTTTGCTTCAAAGAATCTGATGATACTAGTGACTGACCTAAAGGGATTTTCTGATCCGTATCAGGTCTGGTCTGTGTTGGCTCGCAGAGAAGCACGCCAGGTGTTCGACATCTTGCCCCTACTGGTGCATTTGTGCCTGCTTCTGTGACTTGTCCATTTCGTGAAGAATCACTACGGTTCTTTCTCGTCAGCCTGCTTTTGGCAGTGCTGTGGTGCCAAACTTGGGGTGGTAGGAAATGCCGCCGCCCACCACCCCAACCCCACCCTACCCCAGCTCAAACTAGATCTTCACTGCCTTACCCACCCAGCCACAAATCCCACCTGCATCCCTCTTTCCAACCTACCCACCGCTTCCCCACACCCCCATCCTCCCTGCTTTTTCTACCCCACCTTTCCTCTTTTTTCTACCTTCTGGGTGCGTGAGAATTCAAGGCACTATTGTCATTGCCTCTGCCATGGATCCATCAGGTGGCAGGGTCCCGCTTTCCTTTTCCTTTTCCTCTGATCTTTTAATCCCGAAGCCACCCCCGCTTGGAGACCTCCTCCCAGCGATAAGGTTAAGGTTAATGTTGATGGTGCGTGGAATGCAGCCACTGGTCTTGCTGGTGTTGGCTGTGTCATTAGGAACTCTAATGGTGATTTACTTGGTGGTGAATCAAGAATCAACGTGCGATCTGCCCCTATTGAGGCTGAAGCGGAGGCTGTTCTTAGTGGTCTTCATCTTGCTAAGGAGCAGGGTCATCACGATGTGGTTCTTGAATGTGACTCTCAAGTAGTTGTCCAGTCTCTTAGAGACAGAAAAAGGGCAATCCCTTGGAAGATCTACCCCTTTATTCAAGCTATTCGTAGGTTGGTGTCTTGGTTCTCATCCATTCATTGGACATGGATTCCCCGCACCGCCAACAAAGCTGCCCATGTGGCAGCAACTATCGCCAATTTGAGGGTGAGGCATCTTAGATGGGCTTCTCAGCCCCCTCCCTCCCTGGTGCTTGTTCTCTCCCGGGATGGCCTGCCTGGGCCACCATATTAGTGCTTTTATTTTGCCTCGTTCATGGTCTGTAGTTTCTGGGCTACGTGTTTAGCCTTGATGCACTACGTCATGTTTCTTCCTTTTGTTGGTTTCTTCTTTGTAGTTTCCTCCCCAGCTTTTGGGTCTTTTA